AGAATTAGTAGTAGTAATAGTAGTAGTAGTTATAGTATAGTATATATAGTTAGTAGTAATAGTATAGTATAGTAGTAATAGTTAGTAGTAGTATATAGTATAGTATGTAGTAGTATAGTATTAGTAGTAGTATAATTATGATAGTAGTATAGTAGTAGAGTAAGTAATAGTAGTAGTAGAATGTATGTATAGTAAGTAATAGTAGTATAGTATGTAGTAAGTAGTATAGTAGTAGTAGTAATAGTAATAGTAGTAGATAGTAGTAGTAGTAATAGTTAGTAGTAGTAATTGTAGTAGTAGTAATTAGTAAGTAGTAGTATAGTTAGTAGATAATAGTAGTAGTAATAGTAGTAGTATAATAGTAGTAGTAGTAATAGTTAGTAGTAGTAATAGTTAAGTTATATAGTAGTAGTAATAGTAGTATAGTATAGTAGTAGTAGTAATAGTAGTAGTATAATAGTAGAAGTAATAGTAGTAGTATATAGTAGTAGTAGTAAATAGAGTAATATATAGTAGTATAGTAGTAAATAGTAGAGTAGTAATAGTAGTAATATATAGTAGTAGATATAGTAGTAGTAATAGTAGTATAATAGTAGTAGTAGTAATAGTAGATAGTAATAGTAGAGTAATAGATAGTATGTAGTATAGTAGTAGTATATAGTAATAGTAGTAATAGTAGTAGTATAATAGTAGTAAGTAATAGTAGTAGTAGTAATAGTAGTAGTAGTAATAAGTAAAGTATAGTAATGTTAGTAGTAATAGTATGTATAATAGTAGTAGTAAATAGTAGTAGTATAATAGTAGTAATAGTATAGTATTAATAGTAGTAGTAGTAATGTAGAGTTAGTATAATAGTAGTAGTAGTAATAGTAGTAGAGTAAAGTAGTAGTAGTAATAGTAGTAGTAGTAGATTAGTAGTAATATATAGTATTAGTAGTTAGTAATAGTAGTAGTAGTAGTAGTAGTATAATAGTAGTAGTAGTAATAGTAAGTAGTAATAGTGTGTAGTATATATGTCAGTAGTATATAATAAGTAGTAGTAGTAATAGTAGTAGTAGTAGATAGAATAGTAGTATACAGTAAGTAATAATAGTAGTAATAGTAAAGTTAGTAATAGTTAAGAGAATAATAAGTAGTAGTAGTAATAGTAAGTAGTAGTATAGTAGTAACAGTAGTAAAGTAGTAGTAATAGTAGTAGTAATAGTATAGTATATAGTAATAGTAGTAAATATAATAGTAGTAGTAATAGATAGTAACAGTAGTAATAATAGTATAATAGTAGTAGTAACAGTAGTAATAATAGTAGTAATAGTAGTAGTAACAGTAGTAATAATAGTAGTAATAGTAGTAGTAACAGTAGTAATAATAGTAGTAATAGTAGTAGTAACAGTAGTAATAATAGTAGTAATACTAGTAGTAGTAGTACTTGTATTCACAGCAAAACTGAATGCAGTTGTGGCTGTTCTTGTGCTGACAGTTGGCTTGTGCTGACAGCTGGCTTGTGCTGACAGCTGGCTTGTGCTGACAGCTGGCTTGTGCTGACAGCTGTCTTGGCTCTCAGTTCATTGTGCTATCAGATTCTGACTCTACTGTCTGGTCCAGTGTGTTGCTGTCCACTCTGTGGTCTAAAATATATAGGACTGGTTAGTGAGTCTCCATATATTGGTGCCCTGGCCCGGTGGCCTGGTGGCTAAAGCTCCGGCTTCACACACGGAGGGCCCGGGTTCGATTCCCGGCGGTGGAAACATTTCGACACGTTTCCTTACACCTGTTGTCCTGTTCACCTAGCAGCAAATACGTACCTGGGTGTTAGTGGACTGGTGTGGGTTGCATCCTGGGGGACAAGATTAAGGACCACAATGGAAATAAGTTAGACAGTCCTCGATGACGCACTGACTTTCTTGGGTTATCCTGGGTGGCTAACCCTCCGGGGTTAAAAATCCGATCGAAATCTTATCTTATCTCTCTTGGTGCCCTGGGACATATTGGTGCCCTGGGACATATTGGTGCCCTGGGACATATTGGTGCCCTGAGACATATTGGTGCCCTGGGACATATTGGTGCCCTGGGACATATTGGTGCCCTGGGACATATTGGTGCCCTGGGACATATTGGTACCCTGGAACATATTGGTGCCCTGGGACATATTGGTGCCCTGGGACATATTGGTGCCCTGGTACATATTGGTACCCTGGGACATATTGGTACCCTGGGACATATTGGTGCCCTGGGACATATTGGTGCCCTGGGACATATTGGTGCCCTGGGACATATTGGTGCCCTGGGACATATTGGTGCCCTGGGACATATTGGTGCCCTGGTACATATTGGTACCCTGGGACATATTGGTGCCCTGGTACATATTGGTGCCCTGGGACATATTGGTGCCCTGGTACATATTGGTGCCCTGGGGCATATTGGTGCCCTGGGACATATTGGTGCCCTGGGACATATTGGTGCCCTGGGACATATTGGTGCCCTGGTACATATTGGTACCCTGGTACATATTGGTGCCCTGGGACATATTGGTGCCCTGGGACATATTGGTGCCCTGGGACATATTGGTGCCCTGGGACATATTGGTGCCCTGGTACATATTGGTGCCCTGGTACATATTGGTGCCCTGGTACATATTGGTACCCTGGGACATATTGTGCCCTGGTACATATTGGTGCCCTGGTACATATTGGTGCCCTGGGACATATTGGTGCCCTGGTACATATTGGTGCCCTGGGACATATTGGTGCCCTGGTACATATTGGTGCCCTGGGACATATTGGTGCCCTGGGACATATTGGTGCCCTGGTACATATTGGTGCCCTGGGACATATTGGTGCTCTGGGACATACTGGTGCCCTGGAACATATTGGTGCCCTGGTACATATTGGTGCCCTGGTACATATTGGTGCCCTGGTACATATTGGTGCCCTGGTACATATTGGTGCCCTGGGACATATTGGTGCCCTGGTACATATTGGTGCCCTGGTACATATTGGTGCCCTGGGACATTTTGGTGCCCTGATACATATTGGTGCCCTGGGACATATTGGTGCTCTGGGACATATTGGTGCCTTGGTACATATTGGTACCCTGGGGCACATTGGTGCCTTGGTACATATTGGTACCCTGGGACATATTGGTACCCTGGGGCACATTGGTGCCTTGGTACATATTGGTACCCTGGGACATATTGGTGCCCTGGTACGTATTGGTGCCCTGGGACGTATTGGTGCCCTGGGACATATTGGTGCCCTGGGACATATTGGTGCCCTGGGACATATTGGTGCTCTGGGACATATTGGTGCCCTGGGGCATATTGGTGCCTTGGTACATATTGGTACCCTGGGGCACATTGGTGCCTTGGTACATATTGGTACCCTGGGACATATTGGTGCCTTGGTACATATTGGTACCCTGGGACATATTGGTATCCTGGGACATATTGGTGCCGTGGTACATATTGGTACCCTGGGGCATATTGGTGCCTTGGTACATATTGGTACCCTGGGACATATTGGTACCCTGGGACATATTGGTGCCCTGGTACATATTGGTACCCTTGGACATAATGGTACCCTGGGACATATTGGTGCCTTGGTACATATTGGTACCCTAGGGCATATTGGTGTCTTGGTACATATTGGTACCCTGGGACATATTGATACCCTGGGACATATTGGTGCCCTGGTACATATTGGTACCCTGGGACATATTGGTACCCTGGGACATATTGGTGCCCTGGGACATATTGGTGCCCTGGGACATATTGGTGCCCTGGGACATATTGGTGCCCTGGTACATATTGGTACCCTGGGACATATTAGTACCCTGGGACATATTGGTGCCCTGGGACATATTGGTACCCTGGGACATATTGGTGCCCTGGGACATATTGGTGCCCTGGGACATATTGGTGCCCTAGGACATATTGGTGCCCTGGGACATATTGGTGCCCTAGGACATATTGGTGCTCTGGGACATATTGGTACCCTGGGACATATTGGTGCCCTGGGACATATTGGTGCCCTAGGACATATTGGTGCTCTGGGACATATTGGTACCCTGGGACATATTGGTGCTCTGGGACATATTGGTACCCTGGGACATATTGGTGCCCTGGGACATATTGGTGCCCTGGTACATATTGGTGCCCTGGTACATATTGGTGCCCTAGGACATATTGGTGCCCTGGTACATATTGGTACCCTGGGACATATTGGTACCCTGGGACATATTGGTACCCTGTTTAGGCCTAATTAGAGCCTTTCTAGGGCTCGTGAAATTTCTGTTATTGTGTCCAATGGGAGAGCTCCTCGTTATCCAGAAGTAGCCAATCACAATGCCCCAATTCCTTGCGAAGGAGAGAAGCAGTTGTAAGTAAAAATTATGACTTGACTGGAACATTCATACTCAGAAATCTATGAAAGTTAGAGAAAAAAGTGACAGTAAAGAGTTTATAGAATGTGTCGTTCTATAATATAGAGGCACAGCCAAATTCTCCATAGAAAAGCTGGTTTTTTTAATTTTTTTTTTGTATTTACTGAGGTGCCTGTGGGACCTCGGGGAACTTTCGGTAAATTAAATAATGGGATATTTTTAATTGATTTTTTTTATTTGGCGTGGTTTTTATTGTTTTGTATCTATACTGTTTGTGCTTTTTTTATTGAGAATGCTGTTATCTACACAGTGATTGTTCTCTTTAAATATTAGAGCTAATCTTTTTCTCTCTACCTCTCTATCTACCTATCTCTCTACCTCTTTCTATTCTCTACCTACCCTTCTCTATCTCTCTCTATTATTACTCTTCCTACCTATCACACTACCTCTTTCTTTCTCTCTCTCTCTCTCTCTCTCTCTCTCTCTCTCTCTCTCCTCCTCTCTCTCTCTCTCACCTGCATATCCAGTACTGTTGTGTCCCGTTGCTGAAGCGTCTTCTTTTAAGCTCTCGTTATCTCTGTTGACCTGTCCTTGCTGAACTGTTGTCCTTTAGTTGCCGATCTCTAGTTGCCTGCTGCTGTCCCTCCTGTCCTGTGCTCCTGTCTGTTTGCCTCCTTCAGTTGTTCTTTGTTCTTCGTGGCCTCCTGTTGTGCCTCCTTCAGCTGTTCTTTGTTCTTCGTGGCCTCCTGTTGTGCCTCCTTCAGCTGTTCTTTGTTCTTCGTGGCCTCTTGTTGTGCCTCCTTCAGCTGTTCTTTGTTCTTCGTGGCCTCCTGTTGTGCCCCCTTCAGCTGTTCTTTGTTCTTCGTGGCCTCCTGTTGTGCCTCCTTCAGCTGTTCTTTGTTCTTCGTGGCCTCCTGTTGTGCCTCCTTTAGCTGTTCTTCCTTCTTCGTCGCCTCCTGCTGAGCCTCCTTCAGCTGCTCTTCCTTCCTCGTGGCCTCCTGCAGCCCCTCCTTCAGCAGTTCCTCCTTCAGCTTCGCCTCCTGGCGGAGATCCTTCAAGCTCTTCTGTGTGAAGGAGCAAGGAAGGAAGGAGAGCATTTAGGACTCTCAGGTACAAGCCCTAGGTGATTCCTCAGCTCCCTAACCCCCTAAATTAAGCTCCCACGTCCTTACAACCTTGAGGATTTCAAGTTACAATCTCTAAAATCAGAGGTATGGTATGGCAATGGGGAATCCACTGGCTTAGTCCTGACCAATTCCTTAATAATAACTTTAAAACTGAATTACTGAGACTGGTTTAAAGTCATTAAGGGTTTTAAAGGTCCTTAGCTTTTTAAGCCCTTAATTTAAGTTCCCAAGTCTTTTTATTCTGACGTCCATAGATTCCTGAGGACTTTAAGTTAAAGTCAGATGTATGGTATGGCAATGGGGAATCCACTGGCCTAGTGCTGACCAATTTCTTAATTTTTTCAAATTAAATTGGTGAGACTAGTTTTAAGTCTTTAAGGGTTTTTAAGGGTTTTTAAGAGTTGTGTTTCAACATGGTGTGTGGGCATATAAGGCGCGGCATAAGTCTCTTTACCTAAAATCAATTTTTTTTTCATTTGGTTGATGTGATTTGGGAAAATTTTCTCTCTGTCTCTCTCGCTTCATCTCTATTTCTCCCACCTCTTCCACCTCCACCTCCTCTTCCTCCCACCTCCTCTTGCACCCCTCTTGCTCCCACCTTCCTCCCACCTGCTCTTCCTCCCACCTTCCTCCTGCCTTCCTACCACCTTCCTCCCACCTCTTCCTCCCACCTTCCTCCCACCTTCCTCCCACCTCTTCCTCCCGCCTTCCTCCCACCTTCCTCCCACCTCTTCCTCCCACCTTCCTCCCACCTCTTCTACCTTCCTCCCACCTTCCTCCCACCTATTCCTCCCACCTTCCTCCCACCTTCCTCCCACCTCTTCATCCCACCTTCCTCCACCTCTTCTACCTTCCTCCCACCCTTCCTGCCACCTTACTTCCTCCTCCTCTTTCTCCCACATCCACTTCCTCCCACCTCCTCTTCCTCCCACCTCTTTCTCCCACCTCCTCTTCCTCCACCACTTTCTCCCACATCCACTTCTCCCACCTCCTCTTCCTCCCACCTCTTTCTCCCACCTCCTCTTCCTCCCACCACTTTCTCCCACATCCACTTCCTCTCACCTCCTCTTCCTCCCACCTCTTTCTCCCACCTCCTCTTCCTCCCACCTCTTTCTCCCACATCCACTTCCTCCCACCTCCTCTTCCTCCCACCACTTTCTCCCACATCCACTCCCACCTCCTATTCCTCCTACCTCTTTCTCCCACATCCACTTCTTCCCACCTCCTCTTCCTCCCACCTCTTTCTCCCACCTCCTCTTCCTCCCACCACTTTCTCCCACATCCACTTCCTCCCACCTCCTCTTCCTCCCAGCTCTTTCTCCCACCTCCTCTTCCTCCCCACCCCTTTCTCCCACATCCACTTCCTCTCACCTCCTCTTCCTCCCACCTCTTTCTCCCACCTCCTCTTCCCCCCACCTCCTCTTCCTCCCACCTCTTTCTCCCACATCCACTTCCTCCCACCTCCTCTTCCTCCTACCTCTTTCTCCCACCTCCTCTTCCTCCCACCTCTTTCTCCCACATCCACTTCCTCCATCTCCTCTCCTCCTACCTCCTACCTCCTTTCCTCCCACCTCCTCCACTCCTCCACCACCTCTTCTCCACATCCACTCCCACCTCCTATTCCCTACTCTTTCTCCAACTACCACTTTCTCCCACCTCCATCTTCCTCCCACCTCTTTCTCCCACCTCCTCTTCCTCCCACCACTTTCTCCCACATCCACTCCCACCTCCTCTTCCTCCTCACCTCTTTTCCGCTCCCTTCCTCCACTCTCCCACCCACCACTTCTCTCCCCACTTCCTCCTGCTGGATCTCTTGGATGTCTCATCTGCAACGCTGTTTCACCTCCATGCAGTGCCCTGGCCTTTCCCTCCGCTCTCTTTCTCGCGCCTCCTCACTTGGCTAAACTCTGTTTAACACAATCTGCACTCGATCTCCGTCCTCTTTCACGTAATACACTAATTTTGATATACATAATTCTATGGGACATGAATTAACATTTCACATGGCTGAAATAATTGGACGAGAGATTATATAATTATTATTATTATTAAATTATTAATTAATTATTATTATAATTATTAATAATTTATTATTAATTTAAT